CATGCTGGGAGTTTGGAGTTTAGGGATCAACGCTTGATGCAAGAGTATGATTTGTTTTGTTTGCGGGTGGTGACGGACCAGGAAGGGTCTGAGGCTTTGAATAAGCATTGAGTGGTCGGGGCGTCGGCATTGGTTCAGGCGTAATTAGCAGGCAGATTTGAGCAGTGGCTTTGCATTCTGTTCACGTGTGCCCGCTCGCTGTCCTCATTGAGTGTCGCTGCACTTATGTAGACTAGGAGAGCCACGGGAAATTGCAAGCTGCAGGCCATTCCTCATCTCCTGGCCTGCGAGGAGTCCACTCGTAAATGAATCTCGTGATGCACATGGAAGCTAAGGCTGTGCATGTTGAATCGTTCACAAACTCTGACTCTCATGTTCGACTGTCCTCAGGCGGGAACTCACAGCCGCAGACCCGTCCAACAACAGCCCATTTTCCTCAAGTTGATACGTTGAAAGCCCTTGTCCCAGTATGGAGGAACGGCCATCACTCCCGACGGTTCCCGGCATGCGTCTGTCGTTCACATGTAAGCGGTAATACGTTCGTGTGAGCTCTACTGCATAAACACTAGACATGGCCGACTGCCCAGGATTTCAGGGGTAGGGGCAACAAGGTTATGTCCGGAAAGGTGTGACGGGAGGGTTGGGGCTACGGGATTGCAGGTTTGGAGTCTAAGTCCAAGACTTACGGTAGAATTTGTGCACGATGGGCCTCTCAACCCCTTATATCGAGACTCCGAGAAGCCTGGCAAAAGTTCCACAGCTATACCAGTAGCACGAACTCTTTACCCACACCTCCTTATGCACAAAGAGTACTGCGTACAGGGGCGTCTCAAGTAAGCGAAACTCCCCTCTTGCATTCTACAAAAGCTTCAGGGCGGTTGACTGGGCATCCAATACCATGCCGGAATTGAGCATTCAAGCAGCCTCATGATCCTTTTATGGGATTCTTGCACAACCGTCCAGAAATCAAAGCAGCATGCCAGATGTGACAGGCTGCCTCTGAAAGCTCTGGTGCCAGTGCCTTACGTACTGTACCTGTTCCCTCGCTTCCCTCGACACAACCTCCCCAGGCTACGAAACCTGCAGCGTCACGTGGGCAACCCCTCGCCTCCTTGTTGGGCAGATGTGTTTGACATTGAGATGGTGCCATCGACGATCTCAATCCGCTTACTCCGAATCGCACCTGCAGGCGGGCGGCATACACTCTGCTGCGTCAAGAGTGTATACATGTCCCACTGCCCCATGTCCAGGCCAGGGCTAGGGAGGTCGAAATTCAGAATCATGACCAGAAGAGCCCGGGATGGAGCCATCGCAAGCTGCTCCCCCACCGTCTGTTTCCACCCAACCGCTTCGTGAGGGCTTCCCTGAAACACGTTCTTGTACCAGATGCCAAAAAATGTCTGCAAGGAACGCAAAAGTCTCTGGAGCGATTTTTGAGACGCGCGTCCGCGCGCGTGCCGCGAAGCAGGCCGACGCCGCCGCTGAGTTGCCCATGATGTGTACCTGATGCTTCACACGTACCCCTTCCACCCTTCACATTGCGCAGAAGAAGCAGTGCACATGTGCGGAAAAAGAGGGCG